AGTGTTTACTTCAAAAAGCCTGAAGGGAATGATTATACTCACCAGAACAAATACAATAAGCTGTAGTTGTTCTGGTGACTATAGGGTCCCTTTAAGGCCTTCCTTTCCCCAGTAATGCCACTATCAGGCTGAGTACTAGGGTAGACAAACTTATAACATGTCTGTTTAATTACTGCCCAATGGGTTATTTGGCTCTCTTCTCAGCTGGCCATGTGTGGCTCTTCTATGACTTTCTATTATTTTTTTCTTCTATTTCTCTTTTTAATACTTCTTATGTTGCTGTTGTGGTTGCAGTGGCGGATCCAGAGCCTGATCTCGGGAGGGGCACTTGTAGATTATTTAAAGAAATAATCCAGACACAATAACAACTACAGCTCAGTGTAGTGGTTATGGTGTCAATAGTGCCGGGACCCCCTCCCAGAGTAAGTAGTCAAACCGTTTAAGAACAGTTTGACAACTTACCTGAGGTCTTCTGGGAAATGGGGCAGTAGTAGGGCATAGGAGCAGTGGTGTGTGTGAGTGGTGCAGTGTGTGTGTGTGTGTGAGGGGGACAGTGTGTGAGCAGTGTGTGTGTGAGGGCAGCAGTGTATGTGTGGGACAGTATGTGTGTGTAACAGTTGCAGTGTGTGTGTGAGTATTGCAGTGTATGTGTGTGTATGGGGCAGCAGTGTATGGGGGCAGTGTGTGTGTATCGGGTAGTGTACGTGTGTAGAGTGTGTGTAGGGGGGCAGTGTGTGTGCAGGGGGCAGTGTATGTGTGTAGAGTGTGTGTATGGGGGGGGCAGTGTGTGTGTATGGGGGCAGTAATGGGGAGGCAATGTGTGTGTATGGCAGTGTGTGTATGGGGGGCAGTATGGAGCAAATGTGTATGGGGGGGGCAGGCATGGGTGGCGGGGGCAGTATGGGTGTATGGGGGCAGTATGGAGGGCAATGTGTTTGTATGGGGGGCAGTGTATGTGTGTAGAGTGTGTGTGGGGGACAGTGTGTGTGTATGGGGCAGTGGGTGTAGGGGGCATTATGGGTGTACAGTAGGGCAATGTGTGTATGGGGCAGTATAGGTGGTATGGGGGACAAGTATGGGTGTATGGGGGGGACAGTATGGGGGCAATGTGTGTGTATGAGGGGGACAGTATGGGGCAGTATGGTATGGGGGAGCAATGTGTATGGGGGGCAGTATGGGTGTATGGGGGCAGTATGAAGAAATGTGTGTATGGGGGCAGTATGGGTGTGTGGGGGCAGTATGGGGGGCATGTGGGGACAGGATGGGTGTATGGGGGCAGTATAGAAATCACGTGTATGGGGGCAGTATGGGTGTATGGGGGGGGGCAACGTATTGGGGGACAGTATGAGCTGGGGCAATGTGTATGGGGGGGGACAAGTAGACAGTATGGGGGCAGTATGGGTGTATGGGGGCAGTATGGGGGGCAATGTGTGTATGGGGGGACAGTATGGGTGTATGGGGGCGGGGGACAGTATGGGGGGCAGTATGGGTGTATGGGGGGCAGTATGGGGATCAGTGTGTGTGTGATAAGGGTAGGGGGCTTTTTAAAAAAATATATATTTTATTAATTTAGTTTAATATAAATAATCATTATGTCCCCCCTCCCTTCTTACCTTTACTGGGGGGAGGGGGGACATTTCCCTGGTGGTCCGGTGGGGGATTCCCTGGTAGTCCCAGTGGGGAGAGTGCACTCTAGCCCGCGCTCCCGGGCTAGAGTTCACTCTCGCGAGATTTGGAGCGTTGCCGTGGCAACGCTCCAAATCTCGAGTGAGGAGGACCCGGAGGAGCTGCAGCCTGAGCTCCGGGTCCTCACTCTCACTCCCTCCTTCCCCCGCCGGCCGCCAGCACAGTGCCTGCGGACCGGGGAGGGAGATCTGTGATCTTCCTCCCCGGTCCGCAGGCACATTGCAGGGCTAGCGCCTGCATGTGCCGGCAGGGAAGAGGGAGACCGGCGGATTTCTCGGGGGGGGCAATTGCCCCGTTGCCCCCCCCCTGGATCCGCCACTGTGTGGTCGTGACCTAAATATGAATATTAATCTCTTAATACATAGGTCGTGACCTAAATATGAATATTAATCTCTTAATACATAATAATTAAGCAATACAGAACAACATTAATATTTTTATAATTCATGGTATTATGGTCGAATATGTGGATAGAAAATACACAAAACGTTGTAATATTAAATGTATATTTTTTATAACTATAATAAATAAACAGATGCTAGCAGAATGTCAATTTACTACAATAATTATACAATACAATACTACAACAAAAGGTTTCTAAATGTTACACAAAAGGCTATTACAGTTGCTATATGTTACAATGGATTCATATTACTTACAAGGCCCCAGCCAAAGGGCTGGGGCTAGGTCAGAGCTGGTACTACATCTTAGGTTCAGTCAGTTACAGGCAAAGGGACAGTGTTTTCTCCTCCATCTGGTTTTATTCAGTGTAAGTAGGCTGGCCTGTGATGTCACTGCCAGAAGCACATGTCTTCCTACACACTCCCCCTAGTGGTGCCCCCACAGCATTACACTAAATATGCTTTCTTTATGATGTAAAGTCATTAATTAATAAATACCATTACAAACCACCCTTTGACTTATGTCATAAAACAAGCATTTTTAAAACCAGTACATTTTGAATCTTCCCCATTTTAACACTACCTGCCCTACAACAAAACCCACCTTTTGAAGAACGACACCCATTTACCCATTAATTATTACCCATTAACATTTTATTGCTTATATAAATGTTCACCATTGAGCACATGCATTACCAGTTGGGAAATAGGCACATACCCACCCTTATAATAATGAACAACTCAAACCATGTTTTATTAGATTAACCAATGATATTGTGTTCATGTGAGGGTGTGTTTTGGAGCTTAATATAGTATTAGACACCACAAACTCATAACACCTATGAATCATGGCACAGACCGACTCGATTTCTGTAGCCTCTGGCTGGTCTGTGTGCCTGGAATTTTCACAAACATTAGTCCTGGAAACTGGATACTCTATTCTTCGACAGTCTCATAGAACATACGCATGGAGACCGGGATGAATGAAACAGTTCATGTGATCAAGGACTTTTGTGTGTTTGTGGTCACATTGTTTTGTTTTTTTCTTTCTTTATTCCATTAACCACCTTGACGTAACAGTTTCCTGCTCCTGATGCATTTTGTTCCGACTCTCACCACTCTTAGCTGCAATATTTTTTCTCCTTACAGCAACAGTTGAGCATAGTGTCCAATGCTTCTTCTTCTTCTGCTTAAAATATCCTTGCTTGAAAGTTCTTGAATGAAAACACAGGCAATGACGAACACAAACATAAATAATAACTGTGCCAATCATCACAAGTACCATTTGATTGTGGTGTTTTAACCATATTTTTTTTCTATGGCGTTTGGATAAATACCTACACACCTCTCTTCACATCCAGCACACTCCTGATTCACAGATAAACACAATATCACTGCTGTATCTACCAATTTAACCCAAACACTCGTTATTACTGCTGCATTTACCAATTTAATCTAAACGCTCGTTATCACTGCTGTATTTAACCAATTTAATCTAAACATTAACCAAAACAATTACATTCCTATTTACCACCCTTCTATTTAAACATGTATAGATAACCCAAAATGCCTACTTTCTCTTATCCCTCTTATCATTCTTCCGTTTTTTTGGTTTTTTTTTTGAACTGCAACCACTCATGCACTTTACACAGACACAAATCAAGCACCTACTGGACAATGGGATTCCCTCGTTAGAGCCCTCCCACCCCAGTTTGGTTTACACAAAAATACCCCCTGGTCCCTATGGGTCAATTCCCCCCTTTCCCAGGCAAGCATACATACACACATACAACAATAATACATAAGGGTTTCAATTGCAATACAATCACTAGAAATAAGAGAATAGTATGCACAAAATCATAGCATAGACATGTTAAATAGACAATAAAATAAAACATTCAATAGCTCATCAAAGGTCAACATTTAAACACTGGTCTCCATCTGATATTCTATCTGTGTTCCAATGTCCACCTCTGGTTTCTGCTACATCTGAAAAGGTTAGGAAACAGATCAGGATTACTTTCCTAGTCACTTATAGCGTATACTGCAAATATTTTACTTAGAATATATATATATATATATATATATATATACACACAGACATGTAAACACATTCCTTCAGCTTTTCATTTTATAAACAATTTGTTCAACAAGGTAACTTTCTTAATTTTCTACTCGGCTCTTAAAATAAACAATCAGCTAATAGCTGCTTTCTGCATCTTCCTTGCAATTCAGGAGTACACAACACTAAAAGTCCAATACTCAGTACCCCCTAGCCTAAATTCCCCACCCGCTACTGTAACTAAGTTTACAGCCCACGTTATGGCAGTTCACCCGCTAGGCAGATATGCTCAGTACCCCCTAGTTTAAGTTCCCCACCCGCTACTGTAACTAAGTTTACAGCCCACGTTATGGCAGTTCACCCGCTAGGCAGATATGCTCAGTACCCCCTAGCCTAAGTTCCCCACCCGCTACTGTAACTAAGTTTACAGCCCACGTTATGGCAGTTCACCCGCTAGGCAGATATGCTCAGTACCCCCTAGCCTAAGTTCCCCACCCGCTACTGTAACTAAGTTTACAGCCCACGTTATGGCAGTTCACCCGCTAGGCAGATACACAATAAACCCACGTATTACTTATTTTATATTTCCTGGTCTCTCAGGGATATACAATAGCTAATCCCCTTCCCAGGGCAATATAAAACTGACACAAACTTTTAAGCAATACAGGATTTCAAATGGACTTATGAGTAACACATTTCTAGCCAACTTAAACATGTTTAATAACTTTCCACCCTTTGGTTAAATTATAGAGGAGTGAACCACAACACCTCTTCCGCCTCTGAAAGGATATAGGTCAATATGTCTCAAAGTTCAACACTTCTGACAGCTATGAGTGACTCCCTATTAATTTCTAGCCTTTCCACGGACATGCTTGCACCTCGCGGCTAAGGGCCTGCACAACTAACCACCCTGTGATGGCAGTGGCTTTCCGCATGGGGGTGACCGCCCCCGCAAAATTATAGAGGAGCAAACATACAGCAGCCTCTTTTCCGGCTCAATTAAAGGTTCTGAGCCAATATGTTTGCAATTTAACCAGTACACTCACGTATCACTTATTGTATATTTCCTGGTCTCTCAGAAATTTCTATTAGATAGCGTATCCCCTTCCCAGGGCAATATACAACAAAAATTAGTCACCAAGGGTCTCTATGGTCATGATAGGCCACCCTACCACTAGTGTAATACGCCCTTTTTAAAAAAATATATTTCCTGGTCTCTCAGAGATTTTGCCTATCCCTTTCCCAGAGCAATATATATAAACAATTACAAATAAGTTACAAAACGCTACTTATAAGTAATACAGGGTTTCAAATAATAATACAGGATAGAACTGCACAACAACTATTGGGTATGCTCCCCCTTATCCGGACACGTTTAAATACCCCCTAGCTCAGGTTCCCCACCCGCTACTGTAACTAAAATCACAGCCCACGTTATGGAGGTTCACCCGCTAGGCAGATACACCCTAATTCAAAGCATGGAAATATTAAAATCAGTTATAGATGGCTTCTAAAATAATATAAATCTTAATCTGAGCCCCTACACTTACTTTGTTAAAAATGCTAACTTGTTAAAATATTCAGACTAAATAGGACAAAGGAATTATTTTACCATTTTTTCAGTTCATTTGTTACCAGTTCCTGCATATGTCCAGTAATTCCTTAGTCCTGGATAATAAAGCTGAAAAACACTCCACAAATTGATTAGTTTAGGCAATTACATTTACAAAACAATGCAGTTTATTTTTTCTCATACAGACAAGACTACCCACCCCCAACAAGGACAAATTCTCCCCCAGCTGTAGCTGAAAAGCATGGTCACACAGCTGTTAAAGGTGGTCTCTCCTTCATGAGTCAAAATCATATATATATTTATACTAATATTCTGTGTATACGCACACATAAATCTATTATTCACTGAATCTGCTTTACTAAACGTATCTTTTTCTTAACTACTAATTTACTAGACAAATCCATGAATGCCAAACAAATGTAAATTAGTACACAAACAGGGTCAAATTTAGCAATAAAACCTGGTGAACTAGTTTAGTGAAAAGTCTTTTCCTATGCAAATGGTAGCAAACAATGAAACTAGGCCTCAACTCATTCACACCATGTGGTCAATGGTGGATTAAAATCCACATGGTCAGACAAAAGGTAAAGTATATAAGTTTTCTCCTATATACAAATGACCAAAGATTGGTGACAAGCAACACAATAATTCATCACTATGTTCTACAGCAAGAAATACATTAAAAACAAATATCTAATCCCTATTTGCTATCTGCATTCATTCCATTAAAACCAAATCATCATTCATTTATTCATTTGTATACAGACAGACAATTTACAGTATGATTTAAGCAAAATGCATAACATTTATATTTTCCCCAATATTCAAGCATAATCCTGCCGACTACGCCAAATGTTGTGGTCGTGACCTAAATATGAATATTAATCTCTTAATACATAATAATTAAGCAATACAGAACAACATTAATATTTTTATAATTCATGGTATTATGGTCGAATATGTGGATAGAAAATACACAAAACGTTGTAATATTAAATGTATATTTTATATAACTATAATAAATAAACAGATGCTAGCAGAATGTCAATTTACTACAATAATTATACAATACAATACTACAACAAAAGGTTTCTAAATGTTACACAAAAGGCTATTACAGTTGCTATATGTTACAATGGATTCATATTACTTACAAGGCCTGTGGACTCGCCTGTGGACACCGTGGATCACCTACAGCTCTGACCGGAGGGCGGACCGTCTGGGGCCGGACGAGGAGGCGGAGTAGCGTGGGTGGAGGCTGGATTGCGGCCGCGCGGGACCCCCACATTTCTCCCCCCCCCTTTTTTTTTCCTCTCTTCTTCTCTCATTCTCTCTCTCTCTCCTCATGTCCACATGCCCCAACGACGAAGCAAAGGTGACCGACAGGGGAGGAAAGGGGACCTTGACCGGAGTAAACACATGATAGCCACAGATAGCAGGTAGGCTGGACACAGCCCGGCCAAGGTTAAATTAACAACCCATCGAGGGGGGGGGTGCCGGACCCCGGGCAGTACGCCCGACCGACTCAGAATACCACCGAGGGGGGGCTCGCGGGGACCGCATCTGGACCCAGGGGGACCACCACCTCCTGATCGAACCAGAGGGGCTTCGATCCCACGCTGCAAGCTAAACAAGGTACTGCACCTCGCCAACTACAATATATGCCCACGTACATGGTGGAACACTTGCTAATCGCCGGACGATAGGGAAGCCACTGCGATCCCGGCGGGCCCTACTTTATAAAGCAAATAGGCTGCGGGATGGTCGGGGACTGGTGTTCCCCTCTAAAAGGCAGGTCCAACATAAAAGTCCACTAAGATCACTAGGTCTAAGAACCGGAGAAATTAGGCCTGATCAAGACTGATGGGGTGGCGGGGGGTTGGTGGGGGGGAGAGGGGGCTATTACGGCGGGGGGGTGGAGAGGAGGGGAAACTTAAGAACGAAATCCTACAAATATTGTTGGGCATAAGGTTTGGGGGCCTCCCGAAACTTGTTATACCGTGTCTTTTGTTACGATTTGACCTGTATTGTAACCTTATTACATACAAATAAAGAATGTCAAAAAAAAAACAAAAAAAAAAAAACTTTTTTCTAGTTTACAATAAAGACCATTAACAAGAAGGGTTTTCAAGACTGTTTTAACATGCATGTGATGAGTATGTAACTCTGTTGAATATATTAATATGTCGTCCAAGTACACTATCACAAATGAGTGAATGAACTCTCGTAAGACGTCATTAATACATTTTTGAAACACTGCTGCGGCGTTACAAAGACCGAATGGCATCACAGTATACTCGTAATGACCACTCCTAGTATTGAATGCAGTTTTCCACTCATGGCCCTTTTTTATACGTATGAGATTGTATGCACCTTTAAGGTCCAATTTAGTAAACACAGTAGCTTGTTTAAGTCTGTCGAATAATTCCATGATTAATGGTATAGGGTAAGCATTTTTTATAGTGATTTTATTTAGGCCCCTATAATCAATACAAGGTCTTAAATCGCCCTCCTTCTTCGACACAAAGAAGAACCCTGCCCCTGCCGGAGAAGAGGATCTCCTTATAAATCTCCATGACACGATTTTCTTGCGGAGACAAAGGATACACCCTGCCTTTGGGAGGTATAGTGCCAGGCAATATATCAATAGCACAACCGTAGGGTCTATGAGCCGGTAATTTTTCAGCCTCCCTTTTATCGAAGACAGACTTAAGACACATGTACTGAGGAGGTATAACATTAGACAAAGGAGGAGTAGTAGGAACATTAATAGAATTCAAAGGGGTGATTTTAATTATACAAGACTCTTGGCAGGTTTCACTCCAAGATACTATTTGTCCTGACTCCCAGTCAAAATTGGGATTGTGAGAACGTAACCATGGGTACCCTAACACAATGTGAGAGGAAGGAGAGGTAATGACCTGAACCCGAATGGTTTCTGAGTGTAACATCCCTGCATACATGTGCAACGGTTCAGTTTCATGTGTGATAACTGGGGAGCATAATGGTCTACCATCTATGGCTTCAACGGCCATGGGTGTCTACTTTATAAGCCTTTCCCCGCCCTGCGGAGCTCTTTCTGTGCCCTGCTCTCCATGGGTGAAGATGGATTATTTTTTTACCTCCAGGATTTATTTTTATTTTTTTTGCAGGATTTTTTTTTCCGCTGTTTTTTTTGTTTTGTTTTTTGTTTTTTTGCGATGCATATTTTGGATTTTTATTTGTCCATTTTTGGGGCTGAAGAAAGAAAAGAAGAAAGAAGACATAGATGGAAAGTATGACATTTTATTTTACAGGTTTTAGTTTATTGCTCCCCCCACACTATCATTAGGGTGATGGGGGTAGGTAGGGTATTTTTATTGGGGGCGGGGGCAGGGACGTATTAGCCGCGAGGCAAACAAGGCATTTGCCTTGGGCGGCATTTTTCAGGGGGCGGCAAAAATGCCGCCCCCAAATGCCCAGGGCAAATGCCTAGTTAGCCTCGCCGCTAACAGACATGCCGAGCGGGCGGGCGGGCGGCACTGGCTGCTGGCGAGGGAGCTCTTCCTCTGAGCGGTCTGCTCAGCTCCCTCGCGCGGCGCCCGCAGAGTGAGGCTGGGAGCCGGAAGATGACGTCATATTCCGGCTCCCAGCCTCACTCTGCGGGCGCCGCGCGAGGGAGCTGAGCAGACCACTCAGAGGAAGAGCTCCCTCGCCAGCCGCCCACCCAGCAGCCAGCGTCGCCCAGCCCGACCGGCAGCCACTGGACCACCAGGGAGAGAGAGACTCCCCCCCCCAGCACTCCCAAAGGTAAGGAGGTGGGGGGGGGCTTAAATTTAAAAAAAAAGTTAATGTGAGTGATTGTGTGTGTGTCTGACTGTGTGTGTGTGTGTCTGACTGTGTTTGTGTCTGACTGTGTGTGTGTATGTTTGTGTCTGACTGTGTGTGTGTGTGTTTGTGTCTGACTGTGTGTGTTTTTGTGTCTGACTGTGTGTGTGTGTGTCTGACTGTGTGTGTGTGTTTGTGTCTGACTGTGTCTGTGTGTGTTTGTGTCTGTCTGTGTGTGTTTGTGTCTGACTGTGTGTGTGTCTGTGTATGTGTCTGACTGTGTGTGTGTGTATGTGTCTGACTGTGTGTGTGTTTGTGTCTGACTGTGTGTGTGCTTGTGTCTGACTGTGTGTGTGTGTATTTAGAAGGTGGGGCGGGGGGAAGGGTTGGGTGGGGGTGGCGCGGGGGGAGGGGGGCGTCTGAGTTTTGTCCTGCCTAAGACAGCACAAAACCAGGATACACCACTGGGCGGGGGAGTGACTAGGGGCTAGGGGCTTTATTATTTGTGGTCCCTACCTGCCGGTCATGGGTGGAGGTCTGGGGGGACATTAGGTCCCCCCACTATTACCTTAGGGTCCCCACCCACCGCTCATGGGTGGGGACCAGGGGGGACATTAGGTCCCCCATTTATATTAATAGCCCCCACCCGCGGGTCATGGGTTGGGGGACGGGGGGGCACTATGTTATTTGTGTTCCCAACTAGCTACTAGCGACTGGGCAACAATAGCTGTAGCAATAGCAATAGACACTGACTGCTTGCTGTTTAGGTGACATGCCCCTACT